TAACCTTTATCCTAACCCCAACCCACATATTATGTTGAATTCAGACAAATCTGTCTTACAAATACTCCCCCAACCCTAATCCTAACCCTCACACTAACCCTAATCCTAACCCTCCAATCATGTTTAATTCAGACAAATCTGACTTACAAACACTCCCCCTAACCCTAAACCTAAGCCTAACCCTAAACCTAATCCTAATACAAACACTAACCCTCAAGTCACATTGAATTCAGACAAATTTGTCTTACAAACACTCCCTCTGTCCACATGTCAAAAATATCCCTCCTGACCAAATTCCTGTGCCAAATTCGGGATCCCCACAGCCTCAATTTAAGAGCCTTGGGAAAGCAAATCTCCCACGAGAAGGAGAGGAGAGGAAACCTGGATATTGGCCTTGTCAGAATTCCTGTTTTTCCTCCAGCAGGGAGGAAAAAATAAATGAAGGGAAGAAAAATCTCCGGAGTGGAGAGTTCAGCAGCAGGAATTTCCACTTGTGTCCTTGGATTTGGATTGAACTTGAGCACGAGCCTTGCTTTGGAGAACCTTTCGTTGAACTGAGGTTCAAACTCCAACTTTCCAGCCTTCCATGGTTAAAACTCCCAACTTTCCACGGCACAGGCAGAGTCATGGGCAGGGAGGTGCTGCCTGAGCTCCACAGACCCCTCAGGTACCTTCTGCCATGAGAATTCCCAAAGGAAAGGATGCTCTGCTCTCAATCCCCATATTGGAGCTCAACCTTCATCCCTGGAAGTGTCCAAGCCCTGGGATGGTGGGAGGTGTCTCTGCCTGTGGAAAAAGATGAGCTTTAAGGTCCCTTCCCACCCAAACCGTCCTGGGTTTACGATTCTCTGGGAATATTTGGCCTCCCAGCTGCAGAGTTTGGGATGCTGTGGCTGCCCGGGGAATCACGGGACACGTTCTCCTCATCCCAAAAAACCAGGCTGAGACTCTTCCTCCCCAGCTGAGGAGACAGTGCTGCTGATAAATGGCTTTGGGAATTCAGGAGCAGCTGCCAGAGGGCACTGGCACATCCCCACGGGAGCCAACTTCCCGCTGCTGCTATTTAGGACAGGGGTGATGGATTAAAGGGATCCTTTCCAAGGTCAAACCCTGTTTCAGAGCCAGGGTAAACATTTCAGGAACTCTGACAACACTCCAGCCTGGTTTTATGTCCACAAACCCTGCGAAAAAAATGCCATCAGACAAACTAATAAATAACACAGAAATAACAAGATGCCAAATTCGGCTCCTTTGCCATAAACCCAAAGATTTAAAACACAAAAAACCCCGGAAAAACTGCAGGGCTGTGGCCCAGGGGACGAGTTTATTTGCAATCTGAAGATGTTTCAAGGTCAGAGGTGGTTTGTGGGGGGCAAAGTCTGTGCCCCTGGGCTGGGCTGGTGAATCCATGTCCTAAATAAAGTTCTCTCGGGGTGAAAATTCAACCAATAATTTATGGGATGGTTTGGGCCACCTGGGTTTATGTGGAGGAGCTTGGACTCAAACCCCCCTCAGGGATCTGAGGAGCTGCTCCTGCTCATCAAACCCACAGGGAAAAGGGAAAGGAGGAAGAACAGAGTCCAAAGGAGAGGATGCTTTGCTCCGAGGAATTCTGGCCTGAGGAAATGCCAGTCCCACTGGGGTTATCCCAGGTGTTTGTCACCCCATGGCAGACCTTTCCCACATTAATTTTTGGAGGATTTTGCTGCCTGGTTGCTTTTATTCCCTGTCACACTGTGATGGATGGGATCCCCCAAAAATGGGATTCCTTAGGGGCAGTTTTGGGGGGCTCAGTTTCTAATAATCCCACTCAGACACCAATTCCTCTGCAATGGAGCAGCACAGAATCCTGGAATGGTTTGGGTGGGAAAGGACCTTAAATATTATCTCATTCCAACCCCCTGCCATGGGCAGAGACACCTTCACCATCCCAGCTTTCTCCAAGCCCCATCCTGGCCTTGAACATCTCCTTGTCTTTCCTGGAGGACCAGGATCCATGTATTTTGTATTTTTCCAGGTTAAATTCTCACATCTCTGAGTTCACACAACTCTACAACCCCTTTTTTCATCTTTCCCTGTCAAAGTTTTCCCGTGTCTGTGCCTGGTTCACTCATCCCTGAGTGGAAATCCGTCTGGGAAGGGAGGGATTTACTGGGAATGTCCTTGGATGTGTGTTTGGATGCAGGTCCTTGGGGCTGCTCTGAAGGACTAAACGTGCCTGCAATGGGAAAGGGGAATTCCAGGCTCCCCTCGTGCCAAAGAGGAGGTGGAAAGAGGGGAGTTCGGTCTCTGGGATGTTCCCATGTTTAAGGTTGGAAAACCCTTTAAAGCAAAGGATTACAATCCCTAAAAACACATCTATTCCAGGAACTGCTTGGGGGAAACGAGGAGGCTCCACAGGAGGTGGGAAGTTGGGCAGGGAGGTTTTTTGTCCATTCTCTTCCCTTTGCTGATCCCAGCAAGAACCAATTCCCGGGGGGAACCTCAAGTCCCAAACCTCAGGAAGGCAGGAAGTGTGTGGAGCCAAGGACAACAGCTCCTGGAGGCCCCCAAAAACGCTTCCCCCCCTCTCCCCAGGGCCACCAGTAAGGAAGGGTTGGTTCCAGTTTGCCTGGGATTTGTTGTGCTCAGCCTGCCCCTGGATGTTGCAAAAACAAAGGACAGAGCTCTCTTCTCCCTCCCCTCCCTCTCACAAATCCCTCCAGGAGAAAAGGACAAAAGAAATTTAAAAAAAAAAAAACTGAAAAAAAAAACAAAAGAAAACAGAAAAAAAACAAGCAAACAAAAAAACCCCAAGCTCAAAATAAAATATAGATATAAAAATATATGGAAAGAAAGGGAAGGGAAGGGAAGGGAAGGGAAGGGAAGGGAAGGGAAGGGAA